CGTACATCGCGCTCATCGTCATGGCCATCCAGAGCTCGCCCGCCAAGCGCCTGACGCTCAGCGAGATCTACCAGTTCCTGCAGGCGCGCTTCCCCTTCTTCCGCGGCGCCTACCAGGGCTGGAAGAACTCCGTGCGCCACAACCTCTCGCTCAACGAGTGCTTCATCAAGCTGCCCAAGGGCCTCGGGCGGCCGGGCAAGGGCCACTACTGGACCATCGACCCAGCCAGCGAGTTCATGTTCGAGGAGGGCTCGTTTCGGCGCCGGCCGCGGGGCTTCCGAAGGAAATGCCAGGCGCTCAAGCCCATGTACAGCATGATGAACGGGCTTGGCTTCAACCACCTCCCGGACACCTACGGTTTCCAGAGCTCAGCCGGCGGCCTCTCCTGCCCGCCCAACAGCCTGGCGCTGGAGGGGGGTCTGGGCATGATGAACGGCCACTTGCCGGGCAACGTGGACGGCATGGCTTTGCCTAGCCACTCGGTGCCCCATCTGCCCGCCAACGGCGGCCACTCGTACATGGGCAGCTGCGGCGGTGCGGCGGCCGGTGAGTACCCACACCACGACAGCTCGGTGCCCGCCTCCCCACTGCTGCCTGCTGCCGCCGGTGGGGTCATGGAGCCCCATGCCGTCTACTCGGGCTCTGCGGCCGCCTGGCCGCCCTCCGCCTCCGCGGCGCTCAACAGCGGCGCCTCCTACATCAAGCAGCAGCCCCTGTCCCCCTGCAACCCTGCGGCCAACCCTCTGTCCGGCAGCCTCTCCACGCATTCCCTGGACCAGCCGTACCTGCACCAGAACAGTCACAACGCCCCAGCTGAGCTGCAAGGTGAGTGGGGAGGCCGGGCTGTCCGAGCCCTGGGAGACGGACATCTATGAGTGTGCTGCGGAGGCGGTCCCCAAACCGCTTCACGCCCTGGGCCAGAGCCTGTGGCCCGTCCTGCGGGGTACTAACCCCAGTGCTGCAGGGAAGCATCAGCTCCCCAGGTGTCTCTCGGTCCTATCTCCCTCCATTTGAGGGATGAGTGCAGCTTGGAATCCCCCAGTGTGGGCTGAGAGATCGTTTTCTCTTTTAACTTCCAGCTGCTGGCTGCCTAGCCTGGCCAGGTAGGCCCTATCCTCACTAAAAACATTTAGACCCCAATATTCTAAGTTTCCTCGGGTCCCTTAGCCCCCTAGCACCTCAGCAAGTTCCCAGGATGGAGCCAGGGCCAGCCGCGGCCAGTTGGCTCACCCTCTTCAATCGCCCCCAGAAAGCTGTGGGAGAGCGGCCTCTGCTCTAAGCTGGGCAGGACAGAAGAGTTAGGCCCGAAGCCGGCTGGGCCTGGCGCGCAAAGGCTCAGCACCCGGCCTTTCAGGAACCAGGCCTGAGTGTGTGAAAGCTGAGCTGGGGGTATTTTGCGGTGACAGGGGCAGATGGGGGCCCAGATCGAGGGTCAGAGTTGCAGGCCCCACGGACTCTACTTGTTAGGAACCAGGCTTTCAAGGCCCCAGGTACTGCCACCCCGACCCCTCCAAGAAAGAAGATGCACAACCTTCCCCTTGGAGCCCTTTATCGTGGCCCCCAACAGCAGCCTTCTGGACCCGGTTCTGTAACGAGCTCGGCACGAACCAAGCAAAGGCCTGTCAGGGGTCAGCTGTCAGCTGCCTTCGGGACACAGGAGCCGGGCCTAGGGGCCAGAGGGCCGCCTCTCCACAGGGGTCGCCTAGCTTGGCCGGCTTCAAACTCCTGGGTGCCAGCTGCCCTGGGGCTTGGTTCTCCAAGGGGCCTTTCCTCTGGAGAAGCCACCCTTGGCCCCTGTGCTGGCCCCAGCCGGCCCGGCTCACTGCACCGGGACCTCGGCAGCATTTGGGGTTAGCCTTTGGGGTGGCACAGGCTTCAGGCTGCCCTGGGAGTGGAGGCCTCCGGGCCCTCCCTGCTGGCCCACCTCGGCCCCTTTCACCACTTCCCCTTCGGCCTCCGGAAGCTCCTGTCCCGGCTCTCGGTGTCCAAGGCAGGAGAGGCCCTGGCAGCCAGCGGGCACTCGGGGGACCGGGACTGTTGCCGGTGTTCTGGGATCTTCCTCTGGGGCGCTGGGCCCTATGGAGCCCGGGAGCCCAGGGACTTGCGGAGGCGTCGCACAGGGGAGGCCTCGGGCCCTGCGGCCGAGCCAGGCGGGCCTGCCCTATACACCCGTGGGCAGCACTGCTTCTCCACCAGGACCTGTGACCTCGGGAGGCTCATACTTTAACGCCCTCCTTCCTGTCACCTTGCCCCACAGGCATCCCGCGGTATCACTCGCAGTCGCCCAGCATGTGTGACCGAAAGGAGTTCGTCTTCTCTTTCAACACCATGGCGTCCTCGTCCATGCACTCGGCCGGTGGCGGCTCCTACTATCACCAGCAGGTCACCTACCAAGACATCAAGCCCTGTGTGATGTGAGGCCACAGACCCCGGGGGCCCTCCGGGCACAGGCTGGCTGGCGCAGGGACCTCGGAACCCGTTGCCAGGAACTGCTTTATTCTCGAGGTATAACCGTCGGCAGAAGAAAAGGGTTTGACCTCTCCCCAACCGGATTATTCAGAAAGGAATCCCCAAGGCAAAAACCGAGCAGTGGCCAGCACCTCCCCCCTACTCCCTCAACAGTTTTTAAAAATGGCAGTGGTGGGGCTTGATCTGACTGCAGCTGTTGGTAAATAAATATCTATTTTTGATCTGTTGAAAGCGGCTGAGAAGGTGCTGTGCTGGGGAAAAACCCTCCACATCTAAAGAATTCTGCTGCGGTCTCCCCCTCTTCCCCTCCAGCGGCAAACGTCGGGGAAGGCTTTAGGAGAAAGGCAAACGTGTGAGGCCATCAGTACCAAATACTTGTATTTTGGGGTTGAGTATTTATCTTCTTATTTTTAACTTTTTTTTTGGAAAGAATGTCTTGGAATTCGCGTCGCCTTTTAGAGCCGTCTTTTGCAGGGAAGAGGGGAGCAAGAAATCACCTTCTCCCTCCCCACCTCAGAAGTCCTCCGACCAACCACAGGTGGACCCTTGTGCGAATAACTTGCATTTCTGAAGCCACTGCTCCTCTTAGGAGAGAAACCAGAAGGCGCCCAGAAGCAGCGGCTCTCTGGCCTCTGCCGTCCCCGTCCGCCTTCCTCTTCTTCCTTTCCTTCAGCTTTTTGGTTTGGTGTCGAACTTTATCTTGACTTTTTGGGTGAGTGTTCTTCTCCCGAGACCCAGCTGTCTCCCAGTCTCTACTGTAAACCTTCTGGTGGGGGAGCGGGCGAGCAGGCGCCGCGGGGACGGGGAGGCCCGCTGAGCATGCCTATTCAGGATTGCGGTGACGCAGAAAGGTTAAGGCACTTTTAAAAAGAAAACCGATAGCAAGGCTCATCCTGTTATTTATTCTACTTTCTTTCCCTAATAATCGAAAACACCGCATAGGCTCCTCCGTTTATCAGTATTAATGGTGTAACTTTGTTGGCAATATTTGCCGCGTAGAATTTTTTTTTAGATATCCATTGTAAATTTGAAGCTAAGTCCGATCTGTGTAAAAACAAATTTCCATATGTTTTATATAAATATATATATATATAAAATGAAGGACTCCCCCCCTTTTTTTTAGTATTTTGGCTGCTGGGGTGCAGCGTTTGTGACACGTATTTTAAATTTCCTTCTGCACTGTATAAAAATGACAATTTGAGGATGTTTTTGCCTTTTGTGTATTTTTTCCTAGAAAAAGAACAAAAATAAAAATGTGTAACATTTGTACATGGCCTTTAATATTGTATCAATTAGAAATAAAATCGCACGAGTATTTTATTGGGATTGCAGAGTGTCTTCCAACCCCAAAATACAGAGACCAGTCTGGGATTTCTAGACTTTTTTTTGCATTTAAAGTATGGATGATTCTTCATATTTTCTCTCTATTTTTTATTTGTTGGCTAATCCTTCTCTTTTCACTCCTCATTTCGCATTGAACTGAAATCTGGACAAGAGTAACTATTTTTCTTGGCTTCTGTTTTTTAAGAAGAGCCCTCTGCCCCTCTAAATGTCATTTCTTGTTTTAAAGAAATAATCAAACATTTAAAGAAAAGCCGCAGTCCTCCTTCCGCCAGAAAAAAACATGTATATAGACACATATATAAAAAATATTTTAAACTTTTTTTTGGCCACTCCAAGACCAGTGACGATTTTACTTCTGAGTTTCAGACTTTACTGTTCCCATATTCCAGCTGT